GGGGGGGGGGGGGCGTGCGAGGTGGCGGGGTGGCCGGGGCCAGGGCGGGCGGGCTCGCTCGCGTGACTAGGCAGCAGGGAGTGGAGCACCCGCCCAGCTGACAGCAGCGGCAGCAGCGGCAGCCCACCCTGCTGCAGACTCACTCCACTAACATCACCGAAAGCGCCGCCACCAGTTCCGCCATACCCACTTGCAGCAAGCACAGGACCCACCCACTCACACCGCCCACCACACTCACTCCAGGAACATCACCGCTGGCGCCGCCACCAGCTCCACCGCTATGGACAGCCGCTTGCGCTGCTCCATGCTCAGCCCCTGCCCGCCATCGCCCTCGCCCACAATGCTGTGCCGCAGGCGGGTGAGCTCAGTCATCTCCAGAGTCTCCTCCACCAGCTGAGAAACCTGGGGGCAGTTCAGACACGGGGCGACGGTAGGGCAGGCCGGCAGGCAGTGCTTCCGGTAGCAAACACACAGCGCGCATACACGCAGGCAGCAGTGCAAGGCACCCCACCAAGAGGAGGGAAGGCAGCAAGGCAGGCCGGAGCGGCGGCAGCAGGTTGGGGAGGGACCGCTCCCGCTCCCGCATCCCAGCAGGTGGCTCCCGCCAGCCATGCCGCACACCTTATCCAGCGGGATCTCTCCCGGCAGCCGCAGCCGCGCACTGAACATCAGCGACTCTGCCACGGTGGACCGGCCGGAGTGGAGGTCCTGCAGGGGGCGAGGCGAGGGAGAGAGCAGAGGCCAATTGAACAGAGGGAGAGAACAGAGGCCAGGTGGGGCGGATGACTGGCATGCTCCACCGCCGCACCACCACACAGGTGCACACAGACATTTATGCACACATGTGTACACACACACACACACACATGTTCTAAAACCCGCACGCACCTGCTGCTCAACATAGCCGCAGACGCGGGACCAGGTATCCTGGCGCTTGGGGTAGCCTGCGGGCAGGCAGGGCGGGCTATGCAGGGCGGGCAGCGGCAGGGTGGAGGGGGAGCGGCAGGCTGCCACCAGCACGCCTCACACAACAAGACAGCCGACCACGACGCACGGCAGCTCGGCAGCGGCATCCAAAGGGCATCCTGAACGAAAGCAGGCACTTACCGTTGACCAGGATGTCGCCTCGCATCAGCCCCACTGTCTTCCTCCCCAGCACGCTGCACACACAAAGGGCGCACACGGGGGGCGTCGGGGCAGGTGTGGAGGGGTCGGGCAGGCAGCGTCCAGCTGGCTGCTCCCGCAGCGGCAGAGAGTTACCAGTCCATTAGGGTTGTCTTCCCTGCGGTGGATGGGCAGCAGGCAGGAGGGAGGAAGGGACGCGAGGTGCGGGCACCATGTTCACAAAATGGAGAAGCAGAATGGCGGTTGGCAGCATGCTCGGCGACAGAACAGCCAGCCACACAACGCCGCCGCTGTGCTGCCCAGCGCCGCTCACCCGCTCCCGAGCCCCCCATTAGCGCCGTAAGCTCCCCGGGGCGGGCATAGAAGGATATGCCTGCAGGGCTTGCAAGCCACCAGAAGTTGTCAGTTTCTCCCCGAGAGCTGGAGTCAGCGACAAGCAGGCGGGTAGGCCATACTCGGCAGGGCACCGAGTGGAGGCAGCGTTTCGCCTCCTGCCAGCCTCGCAAGCTGCCCCCTCTGGAGACCTCACCCTTCAGGAGTTCCAGCTTGCCGGCGATCTCGCGGTCGCCGCTGTCCCGCACCACACCCGCCGCCTCGCCGTGGCTGGGGTCAGTCACGTAGTACCTGCGGTACAGCAGTACCAAAAATGCTTGATCATATGCCGCAGCGAGCAAAGCCCCACCAAGATGATTCCTGGAGCCTCCGGCCCGCACCAACCGGGGGAAGCCAGGCAGCTTGCCAGGCAGTAGCCGACGCGGGACGTTGCGAGACAATTGGCCTGGGCCGACAAGCTGCACCGCCAGCCTCTTACCTTAGCTCTCGGCAGACCAATGTGATGGGAGTGAAGGCAACCACCACCTTCTCATGTGGCTTGGTAGCTACAGCCGCAGCTGCCCCCGGCTGCCGGCACTGCGTGGCTGCCGCCAGGGCTGCTGCACCCGCCGCCACGCCGCCGTTGGACGGCGGAGGCGGCGCCTCCTCGTCTCCCTTGGTCGAGGGGGCGCCGGAGCGCTCTGGTGGAGCAGGCAGCGCAGTGATGTGATACAGTCATCCACACAGACCTCGCAGCGATACGCTGTGGATGGGTTGAGGCAGCTGACGCAGCCCTGGCGCACAGGACACTGAGAAACACAGGTGTGCACGGCGTGCATGGCGTGGCCCTGGCGCACCTTGCGGAGCCACCACGAGGATGCGGCGCAGGGAGGTGTTGAGGGGGAGCACCACCTGGCCGCGCAGCTGGCGCTGCAGGCGGGCGAAGATGTTCTTGGAGGTCTCCTCCCGCCCCTCAGCCTCAGGCACTGCAAGGGGGGTGGAGGCAGGCAGGCAGGCAGGCACGCATGCCGTAGGGCGATCCACGCATGTATCCCCCACACCGTAGGTATCACCCCCCCCTCCCCACACCCACCCACACCCACCCACCCACACCCACACCCACACACCGGCGCAGCCAGCATGCAACATGTTGAGCATGCCAGCCAGCCCGCTGCCGCTGCCCGCCGCGCGAGCGGCAGCACGCGGCACAGCGAGGGTGTCACCCACCCGTGGGCTGCGGCTGCGGCGGGTGTGTGATGCGCAGCGCCACCGCCGCCGCCGCCGCGTACAGCGCCACACTGCCCCATAGGAAGCCAACGCCGCCCCACACGTACGCCTGGCTGGGAGGGAAGCCAAAGGGCTGCAGGCGGGGCATTGAGGAGAGGGACCGAGGGTACTCAGGGTGAGTACTATTCAACTCTGTGGGTGGGTGAGTGTGTGGGTGGGTCCCCTCACCAGCCTACCCCCATGATGGCCTGCCAGCAGACACTCAACCACCAACCAAAACACAATCCGCACGGCCCCCAGGCCAGCAGCCCCCCCCCTCTCTCTCTCTCTCTCTCACACACACACACACACACACACACACCTCCATGATCGTGTCACCCACGGTGACGCCGGGCACCACCTCAACCTGCCAGCGTGGCGCCGTCAACTCATTAATCACCAGCGCCCGGATGGCCCAGGCCTGCAAGGGGCCAAGGGGAGGAGCGGAGGAGCAGAGGGGCGGGTGACAGACAGGCGTGATGGGGCAGCCAGGGTCGGGCCCGGGTGGCGCCGTTGGGCAGGCCGCAATGCTCGGTGCATTGTGGGTGGCATCCCCAACGCAGGAGGGGGGAGGCGGCAAGGCAACTCGCCATGGGGTTGATCCAGTAGATCCAAATCTGCAGCGACAGCGAGGGTGGGGGTGAGGGGTGGGGGTCATGTGAAGCCTGCGGGTGCGTCAGCGGGTGCACACTGCACCGTGCACAAACACACACACACACCGCACCACACCACACCACACCACACCACACCACACCACACCACACCACGCCACACCACACCACACCACGCCACGCCACCAGCCAACCAGCTCCCTCCTCCAGCCTCACCATGTAGGGTGGTATGGCGGGATAGACGATGCTGAAGCCGTTGGTGATGATCATGAGCAGCAGGCAGAGCATGGCGGAGCTGTTGGCCAGAGCCATGTTCTTGGCAGAGTAGCCGATGAGGCGGAACAGGGCGGCTGCGGGGGCGGCACGGACAGGGGGACGGAGGAGGGTGGGGAGATGGAGGAGGGTGGAGAAGGAGGAGGCGGGCGGGTCGGCAGCTATGGCAGGCTGGGGGCTTTGGCTGGGGACGCAGCGCGGTGCTTCTCTTGCACCCAGGCTGGAGGCCCACCCATCCACCACCCACCCAGGCAGTTGCTTGAGGACCAGGCGATGAGGAGGAAAGTGAAGAAGCAGCTGGCAGAGCGGGTGAGCCCGGCAATCTGCAAGGCGGGAGGCGGGGAGGCAGGCAGGGAAGCAAATGGATCTCGATAACGAACCGAGGTGTATTCACTAGCTCGTTGATTTGAGTGCCGTGCACGTCCAAGTGTGCAGCACCCTGCAAGCTGACAGCTGACAACCAGCCTGACGAGGAGGACACGTCACGCAGCAGGCAGGCGTGTTGGCAGCTGCGGTGCGGCGTCCTCTCACAAAGTACACGACCAGGGCAAAGACGATGGATTCCACGGTGGACTGCGGCAGCTGGCAGATGACCTGGGCCAGGCTGCAGGGGGCAAAGGGGGCAGCCAGCGGGCAGTCAGGGCAGAACATTAGCGCTCTTGGCGAAGGGCGGAGCCAGCAGGCAGACAGGCTCCAGGCACTGGCGCTTGGGATGCACGGCACGGCAGGCCAGGCCCGCCCCGGCGCGGTGCATCCCCAGGGCCCCGCTGCCATCGCTGGGCAGCTGGCCGGCGTGCCTGAAGGACCAGCTGGGGAATAGCTGGTTGTCCCTCTGCTTGTAAAAGGTGGGCTTGGAGACCTGGGTGAATGCCAGCTGGGGCGCGGAGCTCATGCTGCAGCGCGGCACCGGGGGAGGAAGCCGGGGAGGCGAGGAGGCACGGCCGCACATTGTGAGCCCCTGTGCTGCACCTCACAGCAGTGAGCCGCATTGCAAGAGGCCCAGAATGGTTCATACAGCTGCATCCAGGCAGGCAGACAGGCAGGCACAGCGCTGCGGCTAAAGCAGAGGCCTGTGCAGGCTGCCAGCTGGCAGGCCAGGCAGGCGGCGGCCGACTGACGAGAGGAAGATGGCAGACAGCACAAGGAGGGCCACAGCGTTGCGTCCATCCTCGGGCGTCGGCTGGATGGTGGCAAACAGCGAGGCGCTGATCAGGCCGATGAGTATGGTCTGGACCACGCGGGCTGCAAGCAGAGCAGGCACATGTATCAAGGCATGGAGGCAGGAGGCGGGAGCTCACTGAAAGGAAGAAAGAAAGGCCGCACCGATGTAGAAGGTCTTCATGCGCAGGTTGAGCAGGAACTGGCGCAGCACCACCAGCCGCACCAGCACCCTCCAGCTGCGGCGAGCGGCATGGGGCGAGGAGGTTGGACGTCTCAAGAGCCCGGCGGGCAGCTGGCATACAGGGACGCACGCACTCTGGCCGCCTGCCGGCCCGCAAAGGGCTGGCAGCCAACACACACCTGTTGCCATACGGCGAGAACTGCAGCGCCCTGGACGAGGCGTCGGTGGGCTGGAAAGGGTCCTCCTCCAGCTGGCGCAGGATGGCCAGGCCAGGCGGCGTGTCCCGCCAGAACACCCGCTCCATCTCCGCCACAGGCATCAGCAGCTGTGTGGGCGGCGCCGCCAGCAGTGCGGCAGGCTCCCTATCCGCCTCTGCAGGCGACGGTGGACGGGCGGCATGGGTGTCATTCTGGGTGTGGGTGGGAGCGCGGATGCGGGTGCGGCAAAGCGTGGGCAGCCCTGATCAACACGGGGCATTCAAAGTTAAACCCCGAGAGGCAGCGGCAGCAAGGCTGCTGCACACAGAGCCTGTCCCACCTGTCAGGCCGTACAGTTTCAGCAGGGCGGGGGCCGCGTACAGCCACTGGCCGGCAGGGGTGGTCACCTCCTGCAGAACAGCAGGGCACGGGCAGCACGTTATGGAAGGTTCCAGGGGAGCAACCCAGCACCGGCGGGCGTGGCGGGGCGCGCTCCCGCCACCGCCAGGCCGCGCCTGGCCGCTGCCTGGGCGGGCGAGCAAGCGTCAGTGGCGTGGCGCGGCACAGCGCAGCACAGCGCGGCGCGGCGCGGCCCTTGCCTGCAGGAAGCTTCCGGGGTCCTTCCGGGCGGGGCACACAAAGCCGAGCCGTGCCTCAAAGTGCGGCAGCACGCCCCCGACCGGGCCGCTGCAGGCCGGCAGCGGAGCGGCAACCACGTGACTCAAGAGGCGGCGGCGGGGCAAGGGTACGAGCCGGACCCAGAGAATGCTTGTGCTTCCATCCCCACATCCCCAGCTGCTGTTTCCGCCTGTTGGAGGGCAGGCCGGCGCTGTGCTGCAACTGTGCGCCTGTTGAATCCCTGCTGCTGTTGCAACCGGTCACAGTCACAGGTACGGCACCCACCACCACCACCGCCCTGCAAGCAGCCGGCTCACTGGTAGATGACGCGGCTGTCAGTCAGCAGCAGAAGGTCGTCAAACAGCTGGATGACCTCGGGGGCGGGCTGCAGCAGGGAGATGAGGCAGGTGCGGTCCAGGGCATGGGACACGTCCCTGCAAGGGGGCGGCAGCACGGCGCAGGCGCTCGACCAGGGCGGTGCAGGTCGATGGCTGACACTTGAAGCTTGAAGCCGCTGTGAGCCCAAGGGGTGGGAGCCAGCCAGGCTGCCGTTGCCAGGCGGCAGGACCGGGGCGGGCGGGGCAGGCTGGCGGCATCGGCGGCCAGCCCGGCAGCGCCATGCAGCCCGCTGTGCCAGCTGGTGCCAGGCGGCACGCAGCACGCGGCACGCTGTGCCAGCAGGCGCCAGCTGGCACCAGGCGTGCCGCGCCTGAAGGTCCTGATGACCGAGTAGGCGGTGGCGGAGTCCAGGCCCGTGGAAATCTCGTCCATGAAGACCACCGGCTGCTGCCCCACCACAATCTCCGCCGTCGTCAGCCGCTTGCGCTCCCCGCCAGAAATGCCGCGCGCCTCCGAGGAGCCCACGAGCGTCTGTGGGTGGGCGGGCCGGGTAGGCGGGCAGGCGGGCAGGCAGGTGGGCGAGCAGGTGAGCAGGCGGGTGGGCACGCAGGGCTTGGATTGGGCGGGTACAGCAGCAGCGCCGGCCTTGGAGGCAGCAGCAAGAGGCCCGCTGCAACCTCGGTCCCTCGTAGCGATCACGGCAGCCTAAAGCAGAGGCGAGGAAGCGGCTCACCTGCGCCGCGTGCGAGAGCCCCATGATGCGCAGGACGAGGTACGGCATCAGGCGGTGCCCCACCACCTGCAGCGGGGCAGCAAAGGAGCAGACAGGGCAGCTGTGAGGGGGCTCCACAGCAGTGCTGTGCATGCCGGCCTGCTCAGCCCACCCCTTGCAGGCAACCATCAGCCCAGCCCACCTCCTGCATGGTATCAGCAAACTCCTCCTCAGCATCCGCAGTGCTGGGGGCGGGGCTGCGCCAGCCAGGGCTCCCCGCCGCCGGCGCCTCAGGCGTTCGGTGCCCCTCTGGGCTGTCTGGCGGGCTGGCAGGCGAGCGGGTGGCGCCGTCGCCCGCGGCATGTCCATTTGCGGGGGCCCCAGCCGCGCAGTCGACCTCCTGCCCCTGCGCTCACATGACAGCCAGGGCAGCGAGCTCAGGTGGAGCGCCGCAGCAAGCTGGGCACAGCGTCTGCGGAGCACAGCAACGCAGCCCCACCAATGCGGGTTGGAACCAGCAAAAGCAGCACATCCCTTTACCTGCCCGCCGCCGCCGGCCTCCGCCGCCGCCAGCCCCGCGTCTCCCGTGCTCAGCTGCCGCCGCAGCCCTTGCATCTTGCACCGGGCGGCCTCCAGGCGGGTGTAGGCTTCCTCCCGCTGAGCTGGCCCCACGTGGCACTTGAAGGCAAAGTCCACAGTCTCCTGCACGTTGAGCTCTGCACAGGTAGGCAACAAACGCAGCGAACAAAGCATGCAGTCAGTCAGTCAGTCAGGGAATGGCGTGGATCCACGCCATTCTCTCCGGAGAGAAACAAGGGATGGAAAAAAGGGGTGAAGGCATGGTGTGGCAGGTGCTGCTCGCACCACCGCCCCAAGCCGGCCTCCACCCCAACCCACTGGAAGGCAGCTGGCAGCACACCTGGGATGTGGCTGTCCTGCTGTTGTACGAGGCCCGCGGTACGACGTGGCTGGAAGGCGTCCAGCGGCAGGCCGTTGTACTGGATGGTACCGCTGATCTGCAACGGTACAGTGCAGTGCAACCAGCACTGGGCTGGGGGTGCTACCCCGCTATGAAAGTGCAGCAGCGAGATGAGCAGTCGCAGGCAGGCAGGCCGTGACATGCATGGCAGCTCCTCCATTCACGCTGCCATGCACATGGCCGCGCTGCGCCTCACCCGCAGCCCGCGGTGCGGGCGCAGCCGGCCGCTGAGCGCCTGCAGCAGCACCGACTTGCCGCTGCTGGGCGGCCCCAGCAGCAGCGTGCAGCGCCCTGCAGCCAGGCGCAATGCGGCGGGTGGCTTGTCAGCACGCGCCTGTGGCACCCCCTGATGATGACACACCATAGCATCCTCATCCCAGGTCCTGCATCCGCCACCCCCACCAGCAACCACCAGCACGTGCAGACACACCTGGCCTGAGCACTCCGCTGACGTTGTCCAGGATGGTGTGGGGCGCGGTGGGCGGGCGCTGGCAGGTGGCCAGGCGCAGCAGCGACAAGCTGGACTGCAGCATTGAGGGGTTGCCGGCGCTGCCCACCAGAGCATCGGCCTCGATCGTGAGGTTGTGGTACTCAACAGTGACGGCCGCCAGCGGGCGTGAGTCCCTCCCCAGACGCAGCAGAGTGCCCAGCCGCGTGGCAAAGGGGGCGTCGCCACGCCGCGAGCTCAGCACTCGGTCTGCCAGCGCCCCCTTCTGCACGCTGCAGCCAGACAGCGGGCCGGCGGCAGCGGCTCGCAGGGTTGGCCCGTGCAGCAGAGCCTCAAGCAGGTCCGCCTGGCGGCAACGACAGCAGGGGCAGGCGGAGGCAGCGGCGGCACGGCCCCTTCAACCCTGCGCTCGGCACGTGCACCCCCAGCTCACGTCGACAGTCTGTGGGACTTGTGACGGCGAAGCTGGCGCCGTGCGGCGCGAATTAGCTCATCCTCGTCACGGTTCCTCGAAGAGGAGCTGTGTCGTTTCTCCATCTCCAACAGCGAGCCTGCCCAATTCTGGGCCTCCAGATGTGCTCTAAACTGACGGAATGGGGCCCAGTGGTCGAGCCTCAAGTTGGCGCCAGCGCCAGCTGGCATCCACCAATTGGTGCTGGCATCCAGACGTGTCGACGGGGGGTGCAGCGCAAACAGCTGCCAAACGTGGTGCTCTGAATGTCACCAAGGAGGGGAGGGCAGGGGGACGGGGGGCATTCCCGGGCAGTTCCCGGGCAGGGTTTAGGGTGATTGATATTGGTGGACAGCTCGGCAAAAGGAACCACCATTTTGAGCCCTCCCGGCGACCCGGTGCGGACGCCCCGGACGTGACCCGTGTTTGCGACCAAACAACCGCCGGTCCGCGGTCGCTGTTTGTTTGGTCACGTCATCATCATCTTATCCCACTGCTGCGCTGCGAGCGGACGCCTTTGTTTTACAGTAGCAGCAACAGAGTTTGTCCGCGTGACAGAGCTCTCCCAAGCAAATGCAGCTCCTGTGGCATTTCGGTGCCGTTGTGGCGGCTGCAGTGGTGGTCGTATGGCTCTATGGCCTGAACATAGGGCACAGATGGCGCACCCGCCACCTTCCTGGCCCCCGCCCCGCCTGGCTCGTAGGTGTGTCTGTGCCGCCACCCGGCTCTGCCACCATGTTGGTTTGCAGGCAGCAGCCAGCCAAGGCAGATCCTGGTGCCCCCTTTTTGTTTGGTTCGTTTCAAACCAAAAATGGTGTTTGGGCACAGAGCAGCCTTGTGGTGCGCGTGCCCATCTCCAACCCACCGCCCGCCTCGGTGCCGCCGCCACTTCCGCCTGCAGGCAATGTGATGCAGATGGGCCCACAAGGCAAGATACACGAGGCGCTGCAGAAGTGGGCGGCCAAGTACGGCCCCGTGTTCAAGTACTTCCTGGGCAGGAGGCCCTGCATCGTGATCACTGGTGAGGCGCCCCGGGCCGCCCGCTGCGGGCTGCTCCCGAGGCCAGGCGCCAGCGCAGCTAGCTACACAGGGGCTGTGCTCCCCCGGCGCACCACCCCTGCTGGCGCCGGACCCGCCGCTCGCTCTGCAGACCCGGACCTGGTGCGGCAGATCTGCGTCAAGCGCTTCATTGACTACCACGACCGCAGCGTGGTGAGCCCGCCGCGGAGCACCGGCGGGATCCAGACGGCCTGGCTGGCGCCGCATGCAGCGGGCCGACGTGCAGACCGCTCTGTGGGGCGACAAAGTCGCGACCCGTGCAGCGGGCCGGCAAGCGGGCTGCACAGGTAAATAAACAATTGCGCTCAGAGTCAACTCGTCTGCCGTGTGCCTTCACCCCGCAGCCTACGCTGGAGAATGGCGCCGCCTGCGACAACCACTTCCAAAACAGCGGCATCCTGTTTTCCAGGTGGGCGCAGCGGTGGCTGCTGCTGCCCGCTCCCGGGCTCCTGCTGCAGCGCAGCTTCCATGCCTGCATGTGCCCACGGTACCCGCCCTTGCTGCGACTCCTGGCCCGCAGGGGAAAGTATTGGCTGGGCATCCGCACCGCATGCGAGCCTCTGTTCCACAGCGCAGCGCTCGCCAGCTACGCGCCGATGATGAACCAGGCGATTGACGAGCTGGTGGGCAAGATGCAGGCGGCAGCGGTCAGCGGAGAAGGTGGGCGAGGCGTAGCCTGCTGGCGGTGGGGCCGCGCCGCCAGCTGTTCAGGGCTGGCATGTTCCCCTGCAGCTTCCACCACGCCTCCTCTGCCTCCCACATGCCAAGCAGGCATCTGCGTCAGCGAGCTCCTAAAAGCCATGAGCATGGATGTGATCGGCACCACAGCTTTTGGGTGAGCTCTGCTCCCTGCTGCCGGCTGCACTCGTCGCCAGGCTGCACACTCTTGTCAGCCTAAGTGTCGGGATGGCACTGTCGAGCCTGGATCCTGCCCCGCGCCATCCTGCATGCAGGGTCGAGTATGGGGCGCAGAAGGAGGGCAGCGGCAGCACGCTGGTCAAGGCGGCAGAGGCGATGTTCACTCCCATGGCGGGCCTGCCGTTTTGGGCCGCCATCCTGTCGTTTGCAGTGCCAGACCTGAGGTGCGTTGCCCATCTGTACTGCCTGCCCGCCTGCATGCTGAGCGTACTGCACGTTGCCACTACGGTACAGGTAAAACTTGTACCGTATCGGACCAAAGGTTGTGTGCCCCCATACTGCCTGCAGGCGTGTGTGGTACCGCCTGGCCCTGCTGCTGAACCCAAAAACGATTAACCAGATAGTTGCAGGTGGGGAGCAGGGCTGCCTGCCACCATGTTTGCGCTGGCCTTAGGGGTTGTTTGGCTGCCAAATGGACACAGACATGCCTCCCTGCTCCTCTGCTCTTGTGCTCCACCTGCAGACCGCCGTTACCTGTGGGGGGCATCACAAGCCTTGCTGGACAGCGCCCGCGAGCAGGCAACCGCAGCAGGGGCGCCGGCAGGAGGGCAGGGCCCGGGTGTGGCCGATGGGCTGCGGAGCAGCGGGGAGGAGGGAGCCAAGGTGGCGGTGGAGTCTGCCGCTTTCCAGCAGGCCTACAAGACATATGTGGCTCAGGTGCCGCCTGAGACCAGCATCGTCAGCAGACTCAAGTGAGGCTGAGGCAGCCAAGGCAGTCCTGGCGGGCCATCCTGCTTGCCGTGCCTTGCCTGCTTGCACGGGTACACAGTGGCACGCCCTCCACACGAGCCCTGCTTGCCTCGCAGGGATGCGGTGAACAAGCAGACGGGGAAGCAGCTCTCTGATCTGGACATCTGCGCTCAGGTGAGCAGCCAGCCGGCAGGCAGCCTGTCAAGGCGTAGCAGAAGCTCAAGTGCCCCGACCATGTTTTGCCACAGCAGCCCTCCGCACCAGGGCATGTTCCTTGCTGCTGCGACACCTACACTCCTGCAATTTTGGTTGCAAATCCTGGTGCTCCTTTTGCTGCAGAGGCAGCGTTCCAGGAGTCTATGCGCCTCTACCCGCCAGTCTCTTCCCTGATTGTCCTGGTGAGCTGGCGCGTGGGCAGGGACTTCAGCCCTGCACGTTGCTGATGCTGGGCTGGCTGGCACGGCAGCCTGCATGAGTGGCACCTCCTCACCTGCTTCCTGTCACGCTGTGGCTTGTCCCAGTTGCGAGAGGCGGGGCATGGAGGCGTAGACCTGGACCTCACTGGCGGCAGCCGCAGGAGCCTGGCCACGCCAGCAGCGGGGCCCACCAGCGTGTTCATTCCAGGCGAGCTGCTGCCGCTGGGGTGCATTGGGTCACGGTGCGGCGCCGCCTGCGTGCAGTTGATGTGTGAGTGAGTGCTGCCGCTCCGGCGGGCGGGGGGCGCTATCCTCAGCAGCTGGTTGGGTGCTTTCCACCCTGCCCCCTGCAGACAACTGCCGTGTCATGTTCAACATCTGGACGCTGCACAGGGATCCTCGTTATTGGGAAGCTCCGGAGGAATTCAGGTATGTGTGCGCAGGCACCGGCAGCCTGCGGCTGGTCCAGGTGCTGGATACGCCGCCCGACCTTAACCGACTCCTACCACCTGCCTCACGCTGCCTCCAGGCCCGCACGCTTCCTGCCAGACGAGGCGGCCAGCCACCACCCTGGAGCGTACTTCCCCTTTGGCCTGGGGCCCCGCAGATGCGTGGGCTGGCGGTGGGTTGCAGCATCCGCTCATGCAGTCTTCCCTGCTCTGCTGCCCGCTGCCACGCGGTGCCCGCCCGGCTTCCTGCCTCTCTGTGGTGACACTGCACCGCCGCTCTGCACCCTACCATCTCGGTGACAGCTCCCTGCCCCTGCTCTTCTGCGCCTCGCTCGCCGCGCAGGTTTGCGCTGGAGGAGGGCGTGCTGTGCCTGGCCCGCATCTTCCAGCGCTTTGAGCTGCGCCTCGACGCCGAGCGCCACACCGGGCCGCTCGACCTGCGCAGCAGTGAGTGTGAAAGCTGCCCGGGCTTCCGATCGGCCACAGGAGGACGAGGAGCCGTTGCTCGCCTGCACTGCTAGCCATGACGCACCGCCCGAGACTGAAGTTGGCTGCTGTGGCTTGGGTGCAGGCGTGACGCTGGCGCCGCCCAAAGGCATCTGGCTGAAGGTACACGGCCGGGAAGTGTAGCATGTGATCCATCACCAGCCAGGCACAGCGGCCAAGCATCCTCCAGCAAGCCATAGAGTCGCGCACGACCCCTGTTCAGCGTCCCCTCGCTTTGTGTACCTTCACCCGCCGTGTCCCTGCACCGCTGTGGCGCCGCATGGCGCGCCGCTGCATGGCGCGCCGCCGCCGCCAGGGCCCCGACACGATCAGGCCAGCAGGGAAACGACATGTGGCCTGATCTCAGCCATGTCTGCATCGTTTTTCGCGTTGTAAGCTTCCTCTCCCACCTTATAGCATACGGAGAGTTGTTTGAGAGCAACAGCAGGCCCTGCGCCGGCCGGCTCGCGCCACCTCTTTCGCGGCATGGCGGCAGCCGCGGCCTTTTGGCAATGCAAGCGTGCCCACATGTTCATTAGCAGTGTAGACGACTCTGGCAGGGCGGCGCCGCGCTGCAACGGCTGCTGGCACAGGTTAGCAGCCTGCCATGTGCCGCTGCAGGGGCGGGGCGTCACTCATGGCAGCGGTGCAATGGCTACGGGTGGGTGGCACGGAGACTTGTGGAAGGGCATCAGCAGCGCTTCAATGTGTTTATGAAGCGTAATAGAAGGCAAGAGGAGGTCCAGTGTGCATTCCATTCGGGGAAATGTGTGTGGAATGACGCGGCACTTTGGGGGGCGACGGCGCAGCGGCGCTCATGGCAGGCAGCCTCTACCAGGGCAGGTTGAGCGCCCTCTCTTGCTTCCAGGAGGTACCAAAGTTACTAATAATGGCAGTGAGGGGTCTGTGGGGAGGTAATTGTTGAGCTGTGACAATGCCACGTGTCCAGTCTACACATCCGCTGCATTGATACCCTCATTCCCGCCTTTCCCGCCCCAGACACCGCACAATTGTGTTTCCCCACCCCATTCCCAGTTGATCGACACTTGTGCCACTCCCTTTCGTGCACCTGACCCAGCCATTATGCTCACCGATACCATGATGCCTTTGTGCCGCATCGTACCCGCATCGTATCAGGAATATCCCAAGTATATGCCGGGAATATGCTCCTCCACCCCAGATCTATTTAACGCCGCCTCTAGTGCGAATTTACTACTCTTGCTGCCTTTGTAAATACCTCCCGTCAACAGGTTATGGGCCCCAATCCCCTCCGCTGCCCTTGAGTCCGGCACCCGCTCTTGCCGTCACCCCAGACGCCCTTCCCGCGCACCGGCACCTTGCGCCCCACGCCACGGCCCTTGCGCCCCGCCCCAAAGACCAAAGACCAACCCTAAGCGCCGCCTGCGCCTGGCTTTGCTTGCACAACAGCCTTTGCTTGCACATCAGCCTTTGCTGGCACATCAGCAGCCAGCCGCCAGCTGTCAGCCGTTCAGAGAGCCTTGCTGAGCCAGCCCCAACCTGCTTGAGCCAGCCCGCACTTGCATACATCAGCGCTTGTGCAGCAGAGACAGCTTTCTGCCTG